ACTACGACATCGACGACGGCGGTGACCGAATGCATCGCCGCGGATTCTGGGCACGCGCCCATCCGGCGAACCGCGTCCGGCGTGGGGGGGGGCGAGGGATTAGGAAAACGACTTTAAACTCGATTACACACGCACACTTACACTTACGAAATCACACGCGCGCACTTTGTACAAGACATCGCCACCGCGCGTTTCGAGGTCCACCACCGCCATCACCTGTCGGCAGATGGGTATCTACAATAATTGCTATTAGTGGAGCCGAAGGTGTCTTTGACGGCGTCGGCGTCGTGTTTTTATTTCGGTTCCGTATCTGCTGCTATATGGCTCTCGTACACATTACATACGGTTATGTTATTATAATATTATAACGCGTCGCAGATGACGGCCGCAATATAAAATATCGTATACATTATTATGTATCTAATATCAAATATGTCGTGGCACATACGTGCGTAGGCGCTTATTTTCCCGACCGTGTGACCCAAACGGTTTTTACGTGTTTTATATCGTACACGTAGGTATGATATATATGTTACGAATTTTATTATTTTATTTCTTCATCTCTAGCCGGCTTGTGATCGTACCGTGAATTTAGTCTTCGCGCGCGAGTGATGGAAAAAAAAAAAAAGGAAGAACGTGACGTCTTTCGGAAACCGACGGCGATCCGCGGTCTACACTAAGACGGAACGACGGACCTTAAGACTTCGCACGTTTACGATAAAGAAAAAAAAACTATTGCTCGCATAACGCGTCTACGGAACCGTTTCGTTCGGTATCCTACTTGGCCAACTCCCCCCCCCCCCCAAGAGGAGGTTTGTCGGGAAAAAAACCAAGTGACAAAGACATCTTTCGCGTTTATATACTTAGTGTTGACATTGGTCATTTGTTTATCACCGCGAGATAGCTAAAACCACTGTACCCACACCTCGTGCTGCACGTGCAGCAGCGCTATATGCATATAATATATTATGTATAAATAATGTGCTAAATGATACGTATGCGATTAAAAGCTTAAATAGCTGTGATTTATTATTTCTACAACATTTATTATCCTACATGGGTATGTGAAGGTAAGGAACATAAACGTAGAAATATCTGCAAGGGTACCTACTCGGCCAACTACTATCCAATAATAGCCGTTTGTTAGCTGTTTGAAGAGGATTTTAAATAACACTTGAAGACTAACGGACTGTTTAACAAATTTTCACGAATAAAAGACCTATTTTTATTCCAAGGCATTTGATAACCGATTAATCTGATTATACCTTATAGATTTAAAAAATGTTTTATCCCATAATGCCCTAGTATTATTTACATTATATTAACAACTTCTAAACTAATATTGACGTTTACCTATCAAAATTTGACTTTTGAATACCAAAATGTATAATTAATAATGTTAAATATATTTTTGTAAGTTTTGCGTTTAAGGTTTGAAATTCATTGTAAGATTTCTCATACATTAATATTCTGGAATTAAAAAAAAAGTATATACTATAGTCGATTGACCTAAATTTGCTGATGCAAAAATATGAGACAAATCATTTATATTCTAAAGTGTTTTAGTTTTTTTATTTTGTCAACGTTATTGATGCGATTATTAGTACTATAAATTTTCCAAGCGTCTAAGCGCTATCAACAATCATCATCAAACTAATTTTAACTTCCGAGCAAGTTAACACTCTATTCCATCTAAAATCATTTTTCGTAATTGTGCATGTATCTATGACCAAAGTGTATATTAGTTTTTTTAATTAGTCTTTTTTTTTTATCGTTTCACTATAAAATCTAACACAGTAACATCATAATGCATATGTATAGTGTACACTGTACACTATTATACATACACCGATATAATCACCATCACCCTGGGAAACTAAAATTAATACCAAAATTTAACAGTTGACTAAGAAGTTTTACCATACAAATTATGACTGGTTGACTACAGTATTAAAGTGCACTACTTGGGGAGAACTTTAATGTATAATTATACAGTTGGTACATATTATATAGTTAAAGCGATAAGTCTCATAAACGACGTCAGACTGGAGCGTATTTATCATAGTTTTCTCTTGTTGGTCAGATGCATTTTTACGGTTTTATCGACGACTAAAATTCCCACAAATTTATCTCAAACGATAAACCATAATAGGTGTACACATAATTATTTTCGTACATTATAAGTCTGAAGTATTTTGTCATATGTATACAATAACGATTGGCTTTCACAGTTTTTCCGCCAACCCGCTTTCTATAAAAGCGAGGAAAAATTAGAGCATGATGATATCAGTTGAACGATTTCTTTCACAGTTTCACGTGTCG